TCTTTCCCTAAAGGTTTTATCGATATTTTTCTTTCCCTCTTTAGAGTAAATAAAATTCAGTGGCGACTTTGTTTTTTCTACGTCCATTACAAAGGTCGTTACCATTTTTCGAGGTGCGACATCACTTACATCACTGGAGTGGAGGGCTCATTCAACCACAAAATTCGAGATGCGGTCGGATCATTTCATGGAAAGGATGCAAGAATTTGAGAGATTGACCAACATTGAAAAATAATCAAATGCTCAAAAGTCCAAGGGGGTACGACCTATAGATTTAGTCGGCGAAACTTGTTTTGATTCGTTTTGATTTCTTGCTTAACCGAATAAATAATTGTATATATTTATATCTCAATATAAATGAAGTGTTACATATTCACATTTTATTCATATTTGGTCTTAATGTTAGTGTTCTGTTTTGAAAATGGTTTAGGGAAAGTTCTAGAGATGCCTCTCCAGAACATGATTATAGGGTGCGCTTCCAGAGTTATATCTCCAGAATCAATATGACAGTTATATCTCCGGAATCAATATGATAGTCATATCTCCGAAATCAATATGACAGTTAATGAGTGGTCCATATTAAACTAGATTTTCTATAAATTTAGTTGTTCTTGTGATACATTTTACACAAACTCAATCTGTCTCAAATGTCATAAATAAACATCCGCTGGTATGTCGCAAATGTCTCCTACCTTACGGAGACAAACGAAGGATTGTGAAGCTCGAGTATTGTTCACGTTCAGTTGATAATGAGGGGAATATCGTGTTCAGCAAATTTAAGCTCAAGACTCGAGCGGATGTTAGGGCTAGTGGGATACGTATTTCGGTTTCGAAGAGAAAATTTTGCTCGAGTTAGAAGTGACGCTACAAAGATCGGTAGAAGATATCCTGAAGATGTGCAAGCGTCCACCGAGATATTGAAATGTAATATTTAATTTTCTGTTGAAATCATCATTATAATGATCATTTTATGTTATGAATGTCAACTGCATTTTAGAACGTCCATTTTGTGTTGAATCTGTTTCTGGTGTTTTTTCTGAGATGTAACTACGGACTTATTTCGGAGATGCATCTTCGAAACAAATTAAACCTAATATCTGGGACGCCTCTCATAATAGTCTTGATTAAATGTGTAAATGTGCATTTGAAAATATATCTCTGAAAATAGAGAGCATTAGTGAATTTCGCATGGTGCCGCAAAAATCTATAAGGTAGAATACAATTTTTTTTTTTTATATACACCATATCCACACAGTAAATTACAACAATGGAAAATGTTGGTTGTACAAAACCTAAGCAAAATAAATTAATAAAATAATAAAATTAGTATATTTTATCTAGACTTATATGTGTATGTATTAAAAGTAGTGTAAAAATAATATTTTTCAATTTTATTACATTGTTAATGTGGTTTAAATACATAACTAATTTTGTTTTTTTTTTTCATGCAGTTTCGGATATAGTCAAATGTGGCTCTTGTACTTAATCGGACCAATAAATACGGAGATTCTGTAAATGGACTCAATTTAAAAAACATTAAAATAATTAAAAATGACATATAAAAATATAATTATATATTAATTAAAAATAAATTTAATTATAATTATTTTTATTTTAATCCATTTCATTTTTTTATGTATTGAATTTTTACCATAGTATTTTTTTATTTTAAGAAATTTTTATTATAATATTTTTTTGTCTATTAGTATTAATAAAAAAAATTGCATCTTTAAAATTTTGAAGCTCTCTAATATTTAGAGTCTTGTGGGCTCTCTAATATTTAGGGCCTCGTGCGATAGAGTTTGTTGCTCTTGCACGGGACCCGCCCTGTACCTAAATTTGCAATGTTGAGCTATTTGGAGCTTGGCTTTGCTAGTATGAAGTTTTGTTGGACTTAGTTGGAAAGTCTCCTGCTCTCAATACTCTATATTCAAGTTGGTAGTTAGCTTTTTTTCGTTAATTATACTTTAACCTTTACATCTTGTCTTATTTAGACTATGTTTGATTACAAATGATTAGGGAATATTGAAATTCAACCATGAGCTTCTTAACTCTGCTGCTGTGCCAGATTGTTTGACATCCATTCTCCAAGTTGTGAAATTTGAACATGTCTGTGGACGAGTATGAGCTTTTATCAGCTAAATATCTAATGGAAAATGGTATAGTGCTTGAGAGGATGAGTTTCTCCATTATTTAGAGTTGGTTAAATCTAAGGTCATTGAAGAATTTAAAGAGAAGCTGTACTCATTTAAGAACGGAATCTCTTTTGTCATACTTAAATTTTCATATGATAATTATTAGTTTGTAGAAACAAGTGGTTCATGTCTACAATGTTTCTTTTGCTTGTTGTATATATAATACTAAGGTGTCTACAATATGTTTCTTTTGGATGCACGATATGATGTTGCCCGCAAGTAATTGTCTACAAATGGTGGTGACTCTACTTTTGTCTGAAAGATAGTATTAGTAGCTACTAGCAAGTCTGTCTATTTCTCTGTTCTAGAAAAATAATGTAACTAGGGGTGTCTGTGCAACATGTATGAAAAGAACCTAAATGTTAGCATCTAACATGTTTATTTCAGATATAAGATTCCGGCTGCGCTCAACGGACAACAAAATACAGGAAGTTTTACCCCATACCCCTACACTTATACCTATACTCCTACATTAAAAAATTTTGGACCAAAATATCCTCGTATAAAAATTTATTATTTTTTAATTTTTTTTATATTTTTTTATTTGTTTACCGGAAGACTTTTTGGAAGTCTTCCGGTTCACATTTTTTTAGTATGTTTACCGGAAGACTTTTTGGAAGTCTTCCGGTACATATTTTTTTCGTTTGTTTACCGGAAGACTTTTTGGAAGTCTTCCAGTTCATGTTTTATTTTAATTTGTAATTAATATTTAAGATTTATTAATTTTATATAAAGACCAATTTAGTAAATTTTTGAATATTATATTTAAAATATAAAAATTCTATAAATAGAGAATTATTTTCAGAATATTTTCTATTTGCTATAATTATTAGAATACAATGAGATTAAAATCATTTATTTTAAATGATCATAATAGTAAAATTTTCTCAAATATCTTATTAATCTTAAACATTAATAAATAAAATAAATTTAAATATAAGATATAAGTTTACATTATTCAATATATTTATTCAAATGAAAACATATGTGATCTTTTTAATTATTTCACTTTATTTAATATTTTTAATAAAATAAATAATATATTTTATTTAAAGTAAGCACAGTATAGAATATGCAAAAAATTTATAAATAAAAAAAGATCAAACGAAAATGAAAAACAAATAATAAATTTATATTCTTATTTTTTTAATTAAATAAAAATATGGGTAATAAAACAATATTTTTTATATTTATAATTATGTGAGTTCTAAAGTATAGATTAAATACTATATTCATAGTAGTATTTAAAATTAAATAATCAATAAAACTATATCAGTCCTATAAATAAAACACATTATTTGTGTATTCTATTATTGTGATTATTTTAAATAAAATATATTATTAATTTATTACTTATATTATTTTGCAAGTTAACTTATTGTGATCATTTTAAGTTAAAATACATTATTTATTTATCACATATGTTTTCATTTGATTAAATATATTGAATAATGTAAACTTATATCCTATATTTAAATTTATTTTATTTATTAATGTTTAAGATTAATAAGATATTTGAGAAAATTTTACTATTATGATCATTTAAAATAAATGATTTTAATCTCATTGTATTCTAATAATTATAGCAAATAGAAAATATTCTGAAAATAATTCTCTATTTATAGAATTTTTATATTTTAAGTATAATATTCAAAAATTCACTAAATTGGTCTTTATATAAAGTTAATAAATCTTAAATATTAATTACAAATTAAAAAAAAACATGAACCGGAAGACTTCCAAAAAGTCTTCCGGTAAACAAATGAAAAAATATGAACCGGAAGACTTCCAAAAAGTCTTCCGGTAAACATACGAAAAAAAATGTGAACCGGAAGACTTCCAAAAAGTCTTCCGGTAAACAAATAAAAAAATATAAAAAAAATTAAAAAATAATAAATTTTTATACGAGGATATTTTGGTCCAAAAATTTTTAATGTAGGGGTATAGGTACAAGTGTAGGGGTATGAGGTAAAACTTCCCAAAATACAGTAGCCTTTGAACTAATTAGCAACACAAAAATGTAACATCAGTTCAAGATCTCTTGACTACTTCCATTTATTACATATTTTATCTTTATTTCCTGTTTATCTACGAGTCTACTAAGCTCGTACATCTTTAGGATTATCTTTGAAATACTTTTAGGATTAGGCTTGTCGTCATGCCCGATACTTTGACATTTGTATAATAGGTGTTAGAAAAGTCAAAAGTGTAAAAAAAAAACCAGTATTCTTTAAAAATAATTTTTTTTCTTTGCTTCGACACTCTTTACATTAGTATCTGGCACACGTTTGACCCTCATATCATTTATGTCATACAATTGAGACAAATATTTCAAACAAAAATATGTATTTTTCTTTACTTAATCACACCTTTATACATATATTTTTTTTAAACAAATCTCCATAAATAAATCTAAAAGGGTTAAACATGTATTGAACATATTTTATTGATAAAAAATAAAGGCATTAATTTTGATTAGAATATTTTCAATTTTTTAAGAATAAATAGATAATTGAAGCTTAAATAATATTTTATATGTAGGGGGTGTCGTGTCCTATGTTTTTGACATTACCAGGGTCGAAATGTTTGAGTCCTGTCCCTGTTAGAATCTGTGTTTCATAATTTTATGTTCATTTTACGTTTAGTAATTTCCATTATATATAATTGGATTTTTTTTGGAAGAAATTATCGGATATTTAAACTTAAACCTCATGTGCAAATAGAATGAAAAGAATGAAGAAGATTTGATGAATTAGAATGAAATTAAGAAATGATATTGAATAGAAATGAGAATAAAAATGCTACTTAAATTACACGTGCACAATCACCCGAACCACATACTAAAACTGCAGTATCTGTGCTTATGCGACTAGCTAACTCAGGCTGGACCTTGAGATATTCTGTCCTGACAAATGATGCAGCTTTAGTAGCAAGGGCCTCCTCCACAAGTGCAATGCAGCAGCCTCTGAACCCAGCACCACTGAATCGTGCTCCCATTACACCAGGAGTTCTCAGTAGGATCTCATACAGTTGAATCAGTGGTTCAGAACCTTGATAGACACATAATCATCAATATTCAGCATTTAGTATTTACTTTAAGACATTCAAATTATATAAAGGTGAAAAGGTATACAAAATTATGTTGTGTAAACATAAGGAAACTTTACTTTTAAAGCTCAAAATCAAAACAAAACCAAACTAAACACCTATCATCTGAAATTTGGTTTAGTTAAATACAATGAACTTGGCAGTAAAGCTTCCACCTTACACGTGCTCTAGATGACTTTGATGAATTCAAGTATTTGAGTTAGTTAAACTTATTAAACTGGAAGAAATTGATACGGGGCGGATATTTTTGCATTTTTCTCGGAGGGGATTGGTATAGTAAATTAAAAATTTGTAAATGCAAAATCAAACAGGTCTAATTAAGAGTAAACCTCAAATCTGAAAGCTGTATAATAGCAATACTATTGTGCACAGCCATCTGTAAAGCTCCCAACGTGAGTGACTTGCGGTGGTTGAAGAGTTTTTAACAAGACAAATTTGACTTATAAAGCAATTAAAATTTGTTCAACACTACTACGACGCATCATCAGGCTATATGCCTAGGTAGATGACATCTGAGCCTATGAAAAACTACTCATGATGTGTTTGCTTAAATAATTAAAATGTTCTTGACAATTCATTTAAGAAGCTTTATTTGGTTTTTTGTTTGCTCCTCGATCAATTACTGTTGAGATCAGGTAAAATTGAATGGGAGAACCAAAATAGAAAATAAAACAGATCACTTTACAGAGAATCTGAACTTTAGTACAGAACGTCATGTACCAGGGTTTGGAAGGTAAGATTTAGGTAGCGACAAAGAGAGAAAGTTTAGAAGAAAATAGAGCAGTAGAGAAAAAACATAAGTGCTTCAAAGCATACGAAACAAAACAATCAAACACTTCTTTTGCATATAATATTAACGCCTTCTGGATGCATTTTAATTTTTGCAAAAATTTTCAGGACTCAACACTTTTAAAAAGAAGTGCAACTAGATATTGGAAAGTTGAAATTTATATAGGAAACATGTTTTTCCACCCCTATTGGTTTCTTGTATTCAACTGACTTTCATCTTAGAGGGACAAGAAGATGAAATTTCAGAATATATCAATAAAGAATGTCGGGGTTAAGGTTATTACCACATTCATAATTTTGAATGGAACTCCGACCAGAAGCAGCAATGAGAATTCCAAAATCTTCTAAACTTCCTGTTTCCCAAGCCTCAATTCCTGAGTTAAACATTAAATTAATTACATTAAATCACATGAGCAGAGTAGAATACAAACTTGCCTAAGAAACTGAGATTTATTGAAGCAGTAATAGAGATTGTACCTTTCATAACACGCATATTTTCTGAGAAATAATGCTCTGCTCTTTTGGCCAGATCGGGTTCTAATTTGCACTGCACAAACAAAATGTAGGATTACTTGATTATGCAAAAACACAAATGGAAGGACACTATGGCAGGAATAGCACAATATATTGTCACAAATGTCAATGTAACGATTAATCGGGCATTTGCACACTCAAAATGGCAAGATTTGAAACCACAAGTGCCATTAAACTTTGGCATATGGAATTTGCCATTTCTACCTTGGAGAGCATTAATGTGAAAGCATGAGAGCTTGCTGAAGCTGGACGCAAACATTCAAATATATACTACTTCCCATGTGAGTTTTTCATTAAGTTGTTTGTGCTCGAAGGGAACTCCAATATAGAGTGAATTGCAAATAGAAATCATCACATTTTTTTACAGATCCAACGAGAACTACATAAAACAGAAATAAATCTTATCATGATAAGCCCTTTGACTTCACTGTCAGAAAACCATATATGCTCTTATGTAGCCCTTACAAAATATATTTCTCAATTTTATCCAATCACTATTGTGAGGAGCTTCAGAAGCTGACTAATTATTCTTTAAACGAAAAATGGTTTACATGTCTAGCATTTTGATATGTGCCATTCAAGCCTTTCAAGGTTTTCCATAACTTTTGTATCTATCCATAACATCACATGATTGATGAGTTTTGATAACATGGTGCATAAAAAAAGAGCTCTACTGAAATTTGTTCTCTACTTTTCTGAACTTACACTATAAAACTGTTTTCTAATAAGACAAGGTACTTACATATTCAGATATATAAATCTAAGTTCATGTGCGTTCAATCAAGCTTGTATAAAATTAACATAAATTGTGCATTATAACATCAAATTAACCATGATCCAGTAAATGCTTATGTGACGAAATTCAGCATTTAAATGCTCTGTACCTTGTGAGCCTCATAAACTTCTGGGGCAACTGCTTGGTGGAAAATGCAAAGAATAACTTAGACTAGTTAGTATTTTGATAAAAGATATAATAACTTAGTTCAAAAACAAGGAGTCAAAAATACTTGCCATTTGATAAAATGGGTTCTGCTTTATAATCTCCAGATGCTCTGCAGAATGAATAAAAAATAACATAAAACCCCTGGAACAATTATTATCGCGCCAAATTATCTAGAAAAGAAATTAAAGATAAACACTAGGGTGCATGTGCTTTTGGTATTTTTCATTTGATGAGCATAGAAGTTTAAAACTAAAAGTGTTTTCTACAGTCTTCACAATCTGAATTTTGGTTCTTACAATAGTTTATAGGATCTTAATCTCAAAACCCCTTATTGTTTGGAAGTAAATGGTGACCTTTCGGACTTAAAAGTTTGATGTTGACAGATTTTGATGGAAATAGGTTCTAAGAGGCTAAAGTTCAGAAATATCCAACATTTTGCATGCAACATATGTAAAGCAAATGCAAGGCATTGCTAAAAAATATTAAACAGTAATAATTAACAAGAGAAGAAAAAATAGAAACACAACTTACTCAAGAAGAATTCGGGCAGCCTCTTTACATTCTGCAACTCGCTTATTATATCCAGGGTTCGTAGTCAAAGCTTGCTTTAACCCAGAAAGAGCAAGCAACATTTTGGTTGCTTTTGGTTGTTCACCTTCATTGTAGTCTTGCACCTTTGGCCGATGAATAAGCTTATATTCTTTCGTCTGCATATGCCAAACTAAGACATGAAACAGAGGAGTAACAGTGGTATAAGAGAGAACAGCGTTTTGTAGTTATTAAAATGCATGTCTTATACATGGAGACAATTTATACATCAGATATTCCAAATTAAAGAAAGAGATCCAACCAAAGAGCCCAAATATATAAGAACTAAGTGACTATTTATTTCAAGTCTAAGAAACAGATTTCCGGGAATATACGATTAGGAAATGGCCATACCCATGTTTATTACAAGATGAGAAAAAAATTATTTCCAAGTGTAAGGGTTCCCATACATAAAATAACTTCTAATAACTTCTATAATTTCCATGGTTTTATCCCCACGTGAGAAGGATAGAGGAATATATATATATATAATAACTTGCTATCCCTAGCATTTGGCAAATTCACTGCTCAACTTTCTCGTCCCAATTCTTCTCAAACACATGTTCCCTCAGTACAACCTTCTATCAATGGGAAAAAGACAAAGATACATGCATAATAGAAAATGTCAGACATAATTGGAAGGTTAGGAAACAAACCATCATATGATGCCAGACATCAAATCTGATTATACAACTGAAGGGTATGTTCTTTAAAAAATAAAAGTACATTATAAATTGCAACAAAAACACACTACTACAGATACTACCTTGCAATTCATGCACATCAAACAACCGTGGAATGAAAGTAATATGGCTGATTGGTCCATTATGCCATTTTTCAGACCCAAATACTCATTCTCAATCAACCTATAATGAGAAATAAAACAGTTAGAGGGTTGATTGATATTACACAACAATAACTGTAGCTTATCTGTAACAAAAATAACAGACAAGATGGAGGCAGCATTAATTTTGAACTTTGATGGTAGCACTTTAGAAGTATTTTTTACTATTCAACATAGTATGCCTAATTAGCTGGCATTAAAAGAGCTAACATAACTGTAAGAAGCAGAGGTCTGTAAAAATAATGCCCTTTTTCTAACAAACAAATATCAAGGTAGTTAAAGGCAAAATTCCATGCCTTGAGTTGAAGGCAGCCAAAGCCTTGCCAAAGAAAGGACATAAACACTTACTTTAAAAAGGCATTAGTTTTCCATATGAATTTATATTACTGGCGTGAAATTCATAATAAAAGTAAAAGGTTAAGATAGGTTGGAGACTTGGAGATGAGCTTTAGAAACGCATGGTTTTCGCTTAAGCAGAAGTAAGACGGAGTATATGGAATGTAAGTTTAACAAAAGAAGGGTTTCTATACTAGAGGTGAAAGTTGGAGACCATATCATCCCTCAAGTCACGCAGTTTAAATATCTTGCGTCCGTACTACAAAATGATGGAGAAATAGAAGAGAATGTAAACCATCAAATTCAAGTTGGGTGGCTGAAATGGAGGACTTCAATAACGCAAAGGTATCACTCAAGCTGAAGGGAAAATTTTATTGGACTGCGGAAAGACTTGCGATGTTGTACGGTAAAGAATGTTGGATAGTTAAGAATCAACATGAGAATAAAGTAAGTGTAGCAGAGATGAAGATGTTGCGTTGGATGTGTGGTAAGACTTGACATAATAGGATTAGAAATGAAAATATTAGAGAATGTTGGGGTGGCAGCTATAATAAAGAAGATGATAGAAAATAGACTTAGCTGGTTTGGACATGTAGAGAGAAGACTTGTTAATTCTATGGTAAGGAGAATAGATCATATGGAAAGAAGTCAAACAACTAGAGAAAGAGAAAACCTAGAAAGACTATAAAAGAAGCTATTAAGAAAGATCTCGAGATTAACGATTTGGATAGAAACATGGTTCTGAATAGAATATTATGGTGAAAGTTGATCCATGTAGCCGACCCCACTTAGTGGGATAAGGCTTGGTTGTTGTTGTATAAGGTGCTTGCCACCAAAGCCCAACAAATAAAAACAAATCCTTTTACCATTTTGACTATTTAGCAAGTTAGATGACTGGTTATTTAATATTTAACTGTTATCCAGAAAGGCACTTATAAATGCCAAAATGTGATGTCCCCTTCCTATTGCCTAAATTTGGTGTCTTCTGATGCCTTGAATATATTGATTCATACATGTACCGATGCACCCATGGTTTAAGAATAATACATTGTGATGTCTCCAAATATTTGATATACTTACCTATCATATTCAATATTTTCAGTAGGAGATATTTCTAAATCATTTGCATGTTCCAAAGCCAATAGGTAAGCTATTCCAACCTGTCAAAAAATGAAAGTTGAAGTCTCCATCATAAAATCAGAAAACATGTGCAAAGATGGATTTTTCACAGTGTAGTCTTGAAGAAAACCAAAATGAACAGCCAGTTAACTAAACAAATTAAATCAAAATGAATCTTTCCTAATAAGCTAAACTAACTCAAACCAAGTTGTGAAGAACTCTCTTTCAATTCACTAGGAGGGCCTCTTTTCATAATGTAAAGGACCCAATAAAGAGAAATTACATAAGGTGATATAAGCTTGTTTTGGTTGTTGAGGTGGGAGAGTTAAGAAGTAGAATGATAAGGAGGTCAAGGGTGCAATCCTCACTTCCAGCATAATGATAATAATTACTAACAATATTAACATTTTTAGTTTCACAAAAAAATAGGGCAAGAGAATCGCTACTTACTGCAGCAGAAGAGCTTAAGCCTGAGCTGTCCAGACCTTCAGAACCACGTATGTATCCAATGATACCCTATAAATAATGTGACAAGTAAGGAAGGGTATACATTTTAAAACAATGGAAAATTACTTGTATGCAACAGTCTTCATTGCAAGAAAACCAGAAATAAATTATAACTTGTTTCTTATTTTCTAGCCACAAGGTTTGCGAAAAGGTATTTAGAGCTACATCTGCCCCTGTCTAGTAGTAATCGAGAACAACCAGAGCTATAGGAAGGATCAAGCTCACAGATGTATTTCATGTTCTTTTAAAGTACATATCAAATGCCATCATCAATAACCTTAGTTGAAGAGCAGAATTTTTAACATAATGAAAATAAAATGAAAATAATATATGATGAAAAGTGTCTGACTACAAGACCTACAAACTTAGGATCTAATGAGTGCAGATCGACTTGTTTGACACTTAAAACCTGGAGGCATGTTGAGAAAAAAAAGCCCATCACAAACAGTATTGCTGCCATGAAGTCATGAACAGAAAGCAACCTAGAAACAGAATACAACCATTATATAAATCTTTCTTTACCCTACCTTATCAATACTCAGCATTTACAAATTTTCTCCTTTTGTCCTTCTGATACACTTATGCTGATTTCAGAGTGTTTTTTTTTTTTTGGTGAATTTCCTTAGACATGATTGCATGGAAAAATAAACCAGTCTCTTGACTCAAGTGTTTCTGAATACTGTAAACCTTGGTAATTCTATGGTTATTTCAAGCTATTTTTACCTAGGTTGTGGATAGCGCGCTATAGGGGCATAGCATAGCAGTATGTACAGGACCTCAGCGCAACACTTTTGGGCTGCTAACCGCTATCCGCAATAGCATAAATAGTGGCCGCTATTTGTGGAGTCGTGGCGGCGCAATAGCGGTTTTGTAGCGGTTTACGGACCGCTATTGTGAAGATGAGGGCAATATTGTAAGTTTGAATTTTTTTAAGGGTAAATTGGTTTTTTTCCCCCTTTTATTTGACTACTGTAAAAGCGGCTAGTGATGCTTTAGACTTATTAGACATCAATCTAGACTTGTTACATTAGTGTCTAATGGAGATGAGGAGTTGGAGGTGGAAGAAGAAGAAGAGTTTGAAATTGAATCAAGTGATGAGCAAGATGATATTAATGTGGTGGAACTTAGAAGTGAAGATGAGGCGGATGTGATTTAGTCATTTTGTTTATGTTTGTTTACGTCTAGAATTTGGTTTAGTCATTTTTAGCATATTTATATTTTGATTTTGATGGGAACTTATATTGTGGTGCTATTGGAATTTATGTATGTTGTTGCAACTTCTTTTTTACGGCATTATGTATGTTGTGGAAACTTATTTTAAGTATTTATGCACGCATGTTAAGTACTTAGTTTTTAAAGCTCACAATAGCGGTCATCCCACAATCCGCTATGCTGCTAAAGCATTTTGGGATCCGGCGCTATGCGCTGCTATCCGAGATTAACAACCTAGATTTTTACTTCTTATGTATAGTTCTGTTGCTGCAACGTTTTAGTATGGTATATTCATGTGCCATCATTCACAGAATAAAAAAGTAAGGCCCAACAGAACCACAGAATATGTTCTTTTTATAATTAAACCACAAGACTCTTAGTTTCGTGCTGATAAATATAAGCCTATTAGTTATCCAATAAGAATACAACACAAGTCACTGGAAGTTAACATCGAGATTTAGCAAAATACATAATTAGTAAAGATCATATCATTCTGGAATATGTAAAGTTTAATAGCTGAATTGATTTTAAACACTAAGAGAGGAGGAACATTTAAAATTATTGTCACAGTAAAATAATGGTTTTATTTGTTGATTGTTTTGAGTTTCAGAAAATCTAATATAGAAATTGACAACAACCTATTGCTTCATCCCAAAACAATATCATAATGTTGAAAAGATGGATACTTTTCCCATGAATATACAGAACATGGAGCTTAGGGGTAAGGCATCAAGTGTGCCTTTTATAAACAATTTTTATGGCCCAGGTAAACTACATTGTAGATCCAAGATATTCAATTTAAAATACTGTAATAAAAAAGCAAGTGTTAAACTATCACAGAAAGCTGCTATCTATGTATAAGACTAGCTTAGCATAAGTGTAATATAGAAAGGTGAAATGACCTTTGAAATATTGTGCCCCCTACTCTGTAATGCATATACAGCTCCTCTAGCATAACGCCCCCAATTGCATTGTTCCCGTGGCTCGGAAGAATTCTCTGCTGAATTATCATGTGTTGTCTTAGGAGTTTGCCTTGGCTGCTGAATATCGCCAACTCTATCAAATACCAACCACTTCACTCAACATTGGGCAAATTATGTAGTGTTATTTAGGAAGTCCAACATGACAAAATTATACAATGAAAAACGAAGCAGTCCGTTATAATAATTGTAGTTGAAATGCCAACAAGCTAGTAGCTTGATTGCAGTTTGGCACTTTCATTAACCTAATATAATATTGAGAAATGTTAACAACATATTTACGCTTTTTAGACCTACTATTTATCATTGGATGAGATTGATGAGGATCCAACGAAATAAAAGGAGTGGGTTGTGCTAAATAAGAAGTAGAATTCACGTGTTTTTGTGGTAACCCTTAAATATCACCCAATAAAAGTTTGTTAACAGATGTATTGTTGAATCCTTCATGATTTTATGAGCAATGGAATAGAACTTTTGAAATAAATAAAATATTAGGAAACAACTAGCCTTATGGCATAACTAGCCAGATACCTGAACTTAACTTCTCCTTGAAACTGTCCCGAACGAATTACAAACTACAGAAAAATAAAGTCCCACAAGTCATTCATCAAACGAACAAAGGCAGCGCGAAATATGTGCGTGTGCGTGTGCGTGTGAGACAAAGAGAGAAAGACCGGTCTAAATAGAACAGGTACTGTTTAACTGTATGCTTAACTGCTATTTGAAAGAAACAAAAGCAATTTCTAAATGTTTTATCACGTTTTTCAAGATTGACAATTGAGAACATGACCAAACTTTACCTCATCACTTCCAGAAGGAGTAAACCCCAGAAGTATTCCCTTATCTATTGTCATAGCTAAAACAGTCCCACCCTGCAGACACCGAAGTGCAAAATAACTCTTTAAATTTCAAGTGAAATTTATGAGTTGACTAATAATTGTACAGAAGAAATTTATATGCCCAGTCAAAAGTTTACCTATAAAACATGCCCAATCTCAATCATCGAGTTTGAGTAGCAATAACAAAACAGAGAGATGTATAAAAGTACCTGATGATCAATGTGTGCCCCCAAAGGACAAATTCGATAGGGCGATACTACAACTCTAACTTTTTCTTTATTCACATTTGCCATTTCAGAAACTTTTTCTCTCATCTCATTTAGCTGCAGATTACAAATTTACATACAGATTAGCCATTGAGTATCAAAATGTACTGAATGAAATGTTTTTTCCACTCCAACTTCTAGTTCAGGTTCTCCATATTGTTCAGTTATTTCCATTTCTACGAAAACCTTCTATCCTCAACTTTCAAAGGTCTAGATAATCTAAACAACGAGAAAAACCAGTGAATTACGGTTATCCTAAACACAATCATGAGATTGCATCGCGTCACACCACCAATCAACCACTGGCATCAATCACCAGATACTCCTAGCTCAAAGATCAATAACTCGTAATTTAATAGTACATTACCAAACCCTATAAATTAAACATTTCTACCAATCACAGATCTACAAGTTGTTAATTACCAATATGAAAATTCATGCAGTGCAAATATTGATCAGTTTCCAACGAAATAGGTAACTGCAAGATAGATCTACCGGTTAATAATTACAGAGTCCTATTAACAAACAGCTTCAGTGCGCAGAAAAATAGCAATACAGTGAATCAAATCGAAACAACAGCGTAAGCGCGGGATAAACAAATCGGAAGATGTAGCGCACCTCTGTATCAGAAGGCCAGCATAACTCTGCCATGTCCGGTAAAGAAATTTGCTCTGACGTAATGAGGAAATGAGATCGGAAAATTTACCGCAGAAAGAAGAAGCGATACATGAAAGTGATGATGATAATGATAATGATAACGTGAATCGAAGGGGATGATCAATTGCAGTTGGTGAATGGTTGGTGTAGCGCCAAAATCGGTTTCACTTTATCTTTTGAACCAATGTTCATCGAGTGTGACAGATATATTAAATCGTATATTACGTTATATGTATATGATATGATTGTCCAAAAATAAATATTGAATTAAAAAATGGATATGATATGTGATTAATTCATGCAATGCAATGCAATGCAAACCCATAAAGAGGATATTAATTAATTGACATAAAAGGTAGTAAATAAACTAATTAAAAATATTTGTAAAGAGAATAATTACTCACCACCACTAATCTGCACTGGATTTAAGGGTAATAAAATTGGTCATCTGTTCCATTTTAAACCCACCAAAAGAGTGGTGTGACGGGCAAGCCTTCAAATAAAATTAAGTCTAAAAATCTAATTTTTTCCATTAAGGTGACGGGGTTGGCGTAGATTAATATGTTTTTTTTATATTTAAATTTGATTTTTCATTTATTTTTTTAATAATAAAAAAACTATTGAATTATTTGTTTTATGAAATTCTTAACTAAGAAAAACTCTTGAAGACTTGAATATGATTTGTTTTATGAAATTTGAATTTTTTCTAATAGGTGATTACATGTTATGGCTATCTAAATTATATTTATAATATTTTTTTGATTTATAGTAACCAATTAGTTGGATTTGTTATTGTAAAGTAGTTCTCGAGTAGGATATATGTTGTTAAGAGTGAGCGTGAGGGGGGGGGGGGGGGGGGGGGGGGGGGTGTTAAGAGTCTCACATCGGACAATATATGACATGAACATGTGTTTATAAGTGGGGGTAATCCTCACTCTACCAGCCGGTTTTTTAGGGTTGAGTTAGGCCCAACCACACTTCTTAACATGGTATCAGAGCCTGGTTTAAGATCCGGTGGGCAACCTTCTATGGTTTCCGCTATCGGGTCACCCACCATTTATTTCCACGCTTCAGTTGTCCAGTCCTGAGCGTGAGGGGTGTGTTAAGAGTCCCACATCGGACAATATATGGCATGAACATGTGTTTATAAGTGGGGATAATCCTCACTTTATCAGCCGGTTTTGTAGGATTGAGTTAGGCTCAACCACATTTCTTAACACATGTTGATTGTTAATTTCTACGCAACATGAAGAAAGTGTTAGTTAATCCTTCTATGTCGAATGGATCCAGACTGAATCGTGAACGAAATCACTTTCCTTAAAAGTATTTCAAGCACACTCTCAAATTGTCTTAGAGTTGGAACGGCTTGAATACCCAGGATAAGTCAGCCTTTTTCTCGAAACTGCACAAGACTGATGAAGTTTCGAATGCAAGGAAAACGTTGGAATTATATGGAAGAGGATTTCAGAATTTTGGAGTGAATGATTTCGAATTATGAAGCATATATTTATAGCCATGCATGTGTCTTTTCAGAAGTTTGCAATTCTTCATAAACACACTCTCTAATGAGCATTTGCAATGGTTCAAATAAAGTATCATGCACCACTTCGTCAAGTGTCATGTATTTCAAATTCAAATTCAAAATCAAACTCTAGGCAACGAATAAATCTGAGCGATAATTAAAAAATAAATTCGCAGTATTCGGCCGGTCCGCCCGCCGGAGCGCCACCTCATTAACGCCGCGAATAGCCCGATTGCTCCGATGCGTCGTGCCCAAGTGCTCAAGTGCCGTCTACAAGCCGCCACTAGCGCCTCTACGCCCACGCCCCCGGATCCGGTTCCGGAGCCGGAGCCGGTGTCGCCGGTGGCGACACCGGCGAGGGGTGTTTTGTATGAGACAAGTTACATAAGTTTTGGTACCACCACATATGACTATGTGGCACTTTATCCTCTTTGGCTCCTTTGGAAATTACATTGTTCCAAGTGCCTTATAAATGTTATTTAATTTTACTCCTCTTCCAATGTGGGACTAAGCATTTATTATCAATTAAATATAACACCCACTTTGTCATTTTGGAACAACATTAATGAAAATAAAATATTATTTCCAACAATCCCCCACTTGTTCTAATAATGACAAAATAATAATTCCAGAAATGGGACATAAGAAGTATTAATACAGTTAAGTATCTTTCGATTTTAAACTTAACCTTAGTAAGAATAACACAAGGTTTAATCGGAATATTAGGTAGCAATGCTTTTAAACCATGAATCCATATGAATAGACCGGTGTTACCTTACACACACTCCTTAAAGATTCTTCCTCTGCATAACTCGCTTAGCACTTATTTATGGCCATGTGCTATCCTGTTTCATGAATTTTTTCATGAGAGAAACTCCAACTCTCACTTTGAGACGGCACCATCTCATAATTCACATAGGTGAAGTTCATATAGTATCTGTTTCCAATAGATACGTACCCTCGGTATTGAACTTCATTAAGAGTCTAAAATAAAACTCAACCCTCATTTCTAATGTCAACATGATTATGAAATGTTAGACAATTATCCAAATCAACGACTTGTTATTACCCATTGAAAATCTTAACGTTAATGTTCTGTTAACTTAAGATTGGGTTGCCGCCATTGTCGGAACTCTTACTCAAGGAGTTTCAACCCCATACCTCTCGAGGTTGTTCTTACTAAGTCTCTGGCCAGCGGCTTAGTAAACGGATCAGCCAAATTATAGCTTGTTCGTATATACGTAAGTGAAATGATTCCATCCTTAATCAGTTTTCTTACGAACGAATGTCTAAGTCCTATATGCCTGGACTTTCCATTATACACTTCGCTAAATGCTCTTGCCAAAGAGGCCTGACTATCGCAGTGTATCATTACCTTTGAAACATTGTCTTTAGCCAATGGAACTTCCAAAAGAAGATCCCTCAACCACTCTGCCTCTTGACTAGCGGATGCGAGGGCCACGAATTCTGATTCCATGGTCGAAAGAGTAATGCATGTTTGTTTCTTGCTCTTCCAAGAAATTGCTCCTCCAGCTAGTGTAAATATCCACCCAGTTGTAGATTTGTGATCTCCCACGTTAGAGATCCAACTAGCATCGGTATATCCTTCTAATATAGCAGGAAACCTACCATAATGAAGGCCAAGATCTTTGGTTTTCAACAAATAACCAAATATCCTCGTGATTGCCTTCCAATGTTCATTACTTGGATTACTAGTAAATCTACTCATTTTACTAACTGCAAATGATATATCGGGTCTAGTACATTGCATTAAGTACATAAGACATCCGATCGCACTTGCATATTCTAATTGAGCCACTGCTCTTCCATCATTCTTTTCAAGTTTGATTACATGATCAAATGGAGTAGTTACTTCCTTGAATTTCAGGTGTTTGAACTTATCAAGCATTTTCTCAATGTAATGTGTTTGATTAAGTTCATAACCCCCACTATTTTGCTTAACTTTTATTCCTAAAATTGTGTCAACAAGCCCAAGATCTTTCATCTTGAAAGTGGAAGTTAGAAACCTTTTTGTTTCTAAAATTCCATTAAGTCTATTGCTAATTATTAGCATGTCATCAACATAAAGACACAAAAATATTACAGTGTTATTATACACTTTTGTATATAAACACTTGTCACAAGAATTAGGAATAAATCCATTTGACATTATCGTTGAGTCAAACTTTTGATGCCATTGTTTTGATGCTTGTTTTAAGCCATATAGAGATTTGACAAGTTTGCATACCTTCTGTTCATTTCCAGGAAGGACGTGTCCTTCTGGTTGTTCCATGTAGATTTCCTCATCGAGGTCTCCGTTTAGGAATGTTGTTTTAACATCCATTTGATGAACAATCATATCATTTAAGGATACTAAAGCAAATAACAACCTTATAGTGGTTGTTCTCGCTACAGGTGCATAAGTGTCAAAATAATCTATACCTTCCTTTTGTCTAAATCCTTTTGCCACTAATCTTGCTTTATAAGTGTTTAATGTACCATCGCTATGATATTTCTTTTTAAACACCCACTTGCATCCAATGGGTCTTGATCCCTTTGGTAAATCAACAAGTTCCCAAGTGTGGTTGGACATAATTGAATCCATTTCATCTCGGATAGCATCTTTCCAAAAAGAGGAGTCTCTTGAAGCTATTGCTTCCTTATAAGTTTTAGGATCTTCCCCTACTTGAAGAATTACCGGAATGCTTTTAATAAAATTTGTACTATTTCCTTCAACCAGATAAAATAAAATGGATTGAGAATCAATTTCGTCTGGTCCTAGGTTCTTTATTTTCCAGACTCTTTTACTTATCCTAGGTTCGGGTCGTGGTTCATTTATTCGAGATGTGCCTTCAGGTTGTATTTCTACAATCCGAGAAGAGTCTTTTTCACAAGATTCTTTATTTATGGCCGACTCTGATTCTTTATCCTTAGTTATAAGGTTTTCAAAGAATTCTACATCCCGGGATTCAACAATAATATTAGACTCTAAATTTAAAAGTCTATATGCTTTGCTATTTTGTGCATATCCTACAAATGCACATCTTATCCCTCGAGGACCCAACTTGGTTCTCTTAGGATCCATGTTTTTGTAATATGCCACACACCCCCACACCTTAAAATAGCCAATATTTGGTGTCATTCCCTTCCATACCTCATATGGAGAAATTCCACTTTTCTTTAAGGGAATTCTATTTATTATGTGACAAGCGGATAATAAAGCTTCGCCCCACAAATTGAAAGGTAGTTCGAAATGCAATAACATGGCATTCATCATTTCTTGATATGTTCGATTCTTTCTTTCTGCTATGCCATTTTGTTGTGGTGTTCTAGGTGCCTAACATTCATGTATTATACCATGTTCTTCACAAAATGCATCAAATTCAGTAGAAAAGTATTCACCGCCCCTATCACTCCTAAGGACTTTTATACTTCTACTTAATTGATTTTCCACTTCTGCTTTGTAACTCTT